AATAATTATAAGTATAAAAAAATATAGTAATTATATATGTTTTTTTGATTTTTGATATAATTTTATATATAAATATGTTCAATATTTATTTATAATATAATATTATATAGAATTAAAGATTAAATATAAGTTTTTTTAGTAATATAATTTTAAGCAAAAAAAATGATGGGATTATTTTACAAATCCTTCTTAATTAATGTACAAAAATATCAGAATATATCACAGAAATTCTACATTTATAAAAAATTAAATAAAATCTTATTTTATAAATTAAAATTTCTCAAGATATAATTAGCTAAGTTCTATTCTAAAAGAAATTGAAAATTAATAGTATTTCTAAATTTTCTATAAACATAACAATCGAGCAAAAAAAAAAAACAAATAAAGGAAAAAAAATGAAAAAATGAATTGTGCGCATGTCCGCAGTAAAGTTATATCGCGACTAGACTTTATTATATAATTTGATTAAAACATGAAGTTCCCTGATATCAGATTAAAGTCGATCAGGTTCAAATTTCAATTTGTATCATCTATTCTATTAATATCTCATCCATGAAAAGAATAATAAGAAAAGTTAATAACAAGAAAAAATAATTAATGTACTAAGGAATAAATCCTCAATTCCTTTTTTTACCTCTCTTTCTCCTTTTGCTTTTCTGTGTAGGTAGATTATTATAATAATCATCCTCTGAATCATGTTCAATGTAAATGATTTCATTTTCCTCAACCTTTTGTCGTTTATATCCTCTGGATGATGATGATTCCCCCACTTGATAATCGTATCGTTCATAATCTTTCGATGTTAATCCACTTTTTGATGAACCAGCTTTTCTCTCAATACGTTTAGTCATAACTTCCATTTCTTCATCAGAATAAGAAAAGACTCTATTATATGTTTCACCGTAAGTAGCTAATAGAAAAGTAGACTTTTCACAAGGGTATTCCCTATAACTATCCACTTCGTTTTTCCATTGACATGCCATATCTCGATATTCTTTTCCTCTTCTTTTATTATTGAGTCTCTGTGTTCCATTTCTATTACTCAACTTATTTGCCTTATCATTTTTAAGTCTATCGGCACATTCCATTTCATGAAGAAAGTAGTTCACTATGTGCGAAAAATTGGGAGGAATTATATAAGCAGTTTTATAACTATCTGCCAATGATTTCTTATCAGCATATAAGCGGTGAAGTTCTCTTCGAAATTCTATAATTTTTCGTGGTATGAAGAAGATCGATGATAACATTGATTCTTCTATAATCATTTCTTCATCTTGATTATGATATTTGCGTTCCAAACTACCAACTCGAACTACCAGGCGTCGAAAAGCCTTTTCAAAATATGAGAAAATAACATCCGTATTTCTAGTAGATCGGGCTATATCATTATCTTATAATTTCATGCGATATTATAAGTTATTTGTCAGAAATATAAGATTCATCACATTTAAAGTATCTAATACGTACCGGGATCTGATGGATCTTGTATGCATATATTTGTATACGGCTTTTTCGTTGTCCAACTCTCATTGTTCTGATAAAATAAATAAAAGAATGATCATAGAGGAATGAATAATTTAAAATCGATTATAAACAAAAAATTTAACTTACCTTCAAGACATATTCACCGCCTCGATTAACACGTATGGCAACATTAAAGAAGTTAAAATTTAACCCATACAATTCAAAGAATTCTATGAGCAATACACCTAAATTATCATCATCTGGTTTTAAAGTGCCATTTCTAATAAAGGGATGCATCTAAATAAATAAGATTTTTTCGTTCATAAAAAGTAACTTTAAACATTAAAGCATTGAGAAAGTAACGAATTTACATAACTTACCTGGAAAAAGCTAAGCATCATACAAAAAACCGTAAATCCACCCATTCCTCCAGTGGATGGATCGTCAAGTTCATGATGTTTCAAGAACCATTTTACAACTATTACCATTTTACCAAGTGATGGCCATTGATCCAAAAAGCCTTTCATTGAACGAGCCGAAATATATCCAGATGATTGGTTGAATGAAATATCCACGTTGAATTTTGTATAATACTCTCGAAATTTGATTATAGGGACTACCGCTTTCATTATTGTTGCAGGTCGTTCTGCGCTAATACGTTGATAATCCAACAAATTTGCAATTTTTCTAAGAACGTTTGCCGAATTGTCTTTTACAAAACATACAATATCGAGGTCACTATAGAAAAGACATTTACATATATTTATTAGTCGGTTTATATCGTCTTAGATAATTAAAAACTATATTCATACCTAGTGGGAAGATAAAGTCCAGTATTAAAACTGCCAAAAACCATAACTTCGGCGGTCGGATAGCAACTTTTAATACACTGTTCAACACGCTTGATTGCAAAAATTCGCCATAAACGTTCAATATCAGTGGGGCAGAGATACTTTACAACCTCATCAATTTCATAATGCAATCTATGGTAAACAATTATGTTTAATATGAAAGATATCATGTGAACATATTTTAAAAATTAAATTGTACCTTTGCGCTACGTTCCTATATTTCCGACCGTTATCATTCGTTAACCATGGCACTTCATCCTCCAAAGGTACCTTCCAAGTTTCCAAATAACTTTTCCTTTTTCTCACTGGGTTCATTGAAGTTCGATTTCTCTGTCGCATCGCGTCTACTTCAAATAATTCTTGATTTGAAAACACACCTAAAGGAATAAAAGACTGACTGACAGCATCGTGGGTTTGTTGAGTTTGCCTCTCAGTTATAACTGTCAAAGTTTCTGAGACGCTTTGCTTGGAAGAACTTTTCTCTTGAAACATTTTGGGAACAACTAATGAAGGTGTACCATACGGCATTTTCATACAGAAATACTGTTGAGAAGTGTTGAAGTGTGAGGGGAAAAATGTGTCAGGTGAACAAAAACAAAACTGGTCGATGATCATCGGTCGATCAGGTGTTCTGAACGCGAATATATATACATAAATAAAGATATATAAAAATTCGCCACTAAAATGTCATTTCCGCAGCCAGAAGAAGAAGAACTTCAAATTGAGAGCAAATACATTAAAGAAAAGAAAATCGGGGAAGGAACATATGCAAAAGTGTATAGAGGTACATAAAATGTTATTAAGAAAAGTCAAGCGCGTGTTCTTACACTGATATTTCATTCAATACACTTCAACAGGTATAGAAAGCGCAACTGGACGAACTGTTGCCATCAAAAAGATAAAACTCGTACAAACTGAAATCGGGTCACAGGGCATCGAATTATCAGCCGTAAGAGAAGTTAAATGCCTACGTGAGTTACGACATCCTAATGTAATTGAGGTGAGTTAAAATGATGATAATATAAATTTTAATAATAAAGATGAGTTAGACAATACTAATTAATATCACGATTCCTTGTAAACAATAGCTGATTGATATTTACTCCCATAAGTCTAATTTAAAACTTGTATTAGAGTATTTGGATTCAGATTTGGAAATGATAATAAAGGATAAGAGCATCCTTTTTCAGGCTCCCGACATCAAGAGCTGGATGTTAATGACATTACGAGGATTGGATCATTGTCACAGGAATTGGATCCTGCATCGGGTAAGTTTAAAATAAATGTTCTTTTTTTTTTTAGCTTTTTGTAATTTATATATATATAACGTTATAAATAATTTACAGGATATGAAACCGAATAACTTGTTGGTAGGGAAGGATGGTCAATTAAAAATTGCTGATTTTGGTTTATCTCGTGATTACGGAGACCCTCATGCTAAAAATATGTCACCACAAGTGGTTACTCGGTATTTTATATTTTTAAATTTTATCAATAAAAATAAATTTGATCTATTTTATAATAAAAAGTTTTTATCTATAAAGTTGGTATCGAGCTCCTGAATTGTTTTTTATACCGTCTCAATACGGTTTTGCGGTGGACATTTGGTCAGTTGGTTGTATATTTGCTGAATTATTGTTGAGAACCCCTTATCTCGCTGGAGAAAGTGACCTTGCACAACTCGAACTTATTTTTAAGGCTTTGGGAACCCCTACTGAAGAAGATTGGCCGGTATATATATATATATATATATATTCATGAGACTTTAATGGGAGAGATACGATGCTTTAATTGTTTTTAAATCTTTTTCATCTTAGGGTTTTTCTGAATTGGCTCGAGATATGAAATTTCAAAAATACTCTAGAACTCCGTTACAGGTTCATTTCAAAGCCGCAGGTTCCGATGCGATAGATTTATTAGAAAAAATGTTAGCTTATGATCCAAATAAAAGAATAAATACGCGAGAGGTCTGCTAAAAACTTTTGTTCTTATTTTTAATTGAATTTGATAGATATATGTTAAACGTTTATCTCTTTTATATTTTTTCAGGCATTACTCCACTCTTATTTTCGTAAGCACCCAAGACCCACACCACCCGAAAATTTACCGAAACAACAAAAGATTCTTGAAAATGCGATTCAACAGAATCAATTGAATTCCAAGCAATCCAAACAAAGTCGAGGTGAACCAATGGAACATATTAGAAACAAACGTAAAGCACAGGAAATAAGTAATAAAAGTGATAAAAAGGTCCACCTTACTTGAATGAATTCGTAATAGTAAATTGACATAAAATATTATTTGATTTAAAATTTTACTCTCTATAGAATACATTATTTACAGGTTTGCATCTATTTGCATAAACCTCTATTTGCATAAACCCCCAAAAACACTTGTTAAATCGTTATATAATTTGGGTTATTTTATTTTTACAAAATATCACATTATCTTTTTAGATAATTAAATGATTCCAATATTTAAATGATTAAAAGTTCAAACTTTTCTATTTACTTTGAACGGAAAATTTGGTAATAGGTAATCGGAGATTCATGGGTGAAGTATATTGTTACAGAGTAGCTGAAATTTTTATTTTTTTTTTTCTTAAAAAAAAATGAAAATTGCAACAATAAGGTAGTCGAGGTCTTCATAGTTGCCCTGAAAATAATTAAGAAGTTTTTCCTAATTTCACACCAAAGCACCGTAATGTCTCGGATTATTAGAATTTTGCAAAATTTCCGGTACTAAAGAATCTATTTCAGTGGGTATTGTTTCATCATTATCACTAATAATCCCGTCACTGTCATCATCATATTGGATGTTCTTGTTGGATCTGCCATATAGTCAATCGAGACTCTTCTCCTTCGCTTTCTCAATTTTTTTCACAATTTTCTCCTCTACTTTCGAGTTCAACAAGAACAACGCACCCCTAACGATCACTATGATTCCACAACAAAAACCAACAACGGACCGCCATGATCCAACTTCTTTAAATACGATCATACCACTCATAGCGACAAATGTTACATGTGATGCGTAGAACATTGGTTGGAATTGTGTGACTCGATATTTACTTAATGCAAATTGTTTACAAGTCTCTTGGCCAATTATACCAATGATCAATATAAATATTATTGCCATGAAAGAAATTATTAAAGCAATTGATGATCCATCATCAAGGATGGCGGGTATGATCTTATCTTCCAAGTTCGGTTTATTTCCATCGGAAGGAGCAAACACCCAAACCTTTAACAAAAGTGCAAAAAATTTTGATGCCACTACAGTCAATGATCCAAATCCTGCCGTCATGATCACGTAGAGGACCAATGATGATTTTCCCTTTTTGGCGCGCACCATCATAAATAAGATGCATTGAGCCACAAGTATTGTAATAAGCCAAAGAATTACTTGAAACTGAGTCATATACGCGAATAATTTGGAAGTAGTCGATAATTGATTTTCGATACTATTCGTTGATGTCGCAGAGAATAGGATCGTTAAAAGAACACCAATAAGGATCCAGATATATCCTTTGGTTTGACGAAAGCTAATTTGTTCATATAATAAAAATTTTGCAAGTATAGCATTTACAACAACTCCTAGAATTCCAAGAGGGGTGACAACTGACGCGGGTATAAGTGAAAGAGCAACCCAATTTCCACATAACTCGCCTAGATAAACTAAAGAAATTCCAATAAACCATGTTCGATCTTTAAACCTTGAATAAGTTACTGGAACGGGCGAAGTAGTCGGTAGAAGCGGCTGAGTATGTGTATCATCTTGATTTGATGATGTTTTAAATCGTGATTCACCACGCGTTAGCGCATACTTTTGTAGACAATTTCCTAAACCGATAATTGAATTCCCTGCTAATGCAGCGATAAGTCCCCAGAAAAAAGACATTATTGGGAAATTTGTTTTATTTTATTATAAAAAAAGATAAATAAATACAAGATGTTAATCCCTAAGGCAAAACCTGTACGTTATTGCTGAATATTTTTTTTTTTTTTTTTTAGAAATGTAAAACTGTTTTGCCCGATTACTAGTGATATTTGAATATTAATCTATACCGCGGTCTACGCGGAGGATTATTTTAATACTTGCTGGAAAAAGAGAGAGAGAGAGAAAAAAAAAGGTTTTAAAAAATGAACGACATCGGTCTGCAAGGCAACTGGAAGGACGAACTAATTCTTTCATTTCCCTTTTATTTACATATTTATATTTGTTACAGCATTACACAAAAAATTACGGGCAAATCCACAATGTATAATGTGAAACTGATTATAAATAATTATTTAAACGTTAATAATGTTAATAGTAATAATAATAATATCGATCTGCATATATTATCGTTATTTTAGGAAATTTTCAAGTTTATTTGTGCTAAATATTTACCCAATCAAATTTTCGTATAAAAGATAAATTTTCCTACTTTTGCTAGCTTAAAAGTAATTCTGACATTCTACGAAATAAGATATATCAATTAACGACCTTTTTATTTAATCGAACTGCAATATGTATGATTTTCTTAACCCATCAGTCGGAATAATTTCCTGAGATAATATTTCTTGCAAATCGTGAATGCTGATAATTCTTATTCCAAGAATGACTAATCTTCCCAAATAAAAAAAATATTCTAAGGCAAAGAACCATATACGAAGTATCAGTATGTCATGCATTTCGCGGAACATAATAAATCCGAGAATTTAAGGTAGAGGTTGTCTAATATAACGATTATTGCGAATATTTTTGGAATCACCTGTAATCTATTAAAACGATCTTCCCACATATTTAGATTTAGGAATTTTTTGTTAGCAAAACTTTTAAGTAATAAAAAATAATTATGAAATCGTAAAATAATGCTAATAAATTTATTTGCGTCTAATACTGTACAACCATATGAAAATACACATCTAAATATAATAAATTAAAAAATAATCGTTAAATTTAATCTCGAAAATCTATCAAATCAATCAACCATTGAGAAAAATAATTTCTTCTTAACTTACTTCATGATCATGTATTGTAAGTAGACAACCCTTCTAATATATGTTTTACCAAATTAACAAACTTCTTATTCTATATAAGAATCTTTTAATAATGATTGATTAAAAAATTATCTACTGCTAGCTAAATCTGTTATAATATATACACCTATTTATCATCATGGTATAAAATTCAAAAAAATTACAACAAATATTCATTCTATAATAATTATATCATAAATTTTATAGACATTATATTATATATTTAACAAGATTGTTGAAATCTTTAAAAAATCACAAACATATTGCATTCAGAGGGAAATAAAGATACAATTTATTTTGTTTATAATACATACCTGATAAACAATTTCATAAACAAGTTATTAAATATTTAGGATGATGTTTCATTTGATTTTTTTCTAATTATATACTTACATTAAAAATGTTCATCATTTGCATAACTGTCATATTCTTTAAATATGAATTAAGTCAAATGACAATTTTGCTAATACTAACTTATATAAAATAAATTGGTGGTTTTCTATTATTCTAAAGATCAACTGGTATTCTAAAAAAAATGAAATTAATATTTGATTTATACAAAAAATGCAAAGAAAAGCTTATAAATAACTTTTTGCTAACTTCACATTGAGATTTAAGAATGTTAGAAAGGTTAGAAAGATATGAATCAGATAATAATAAATTAATAATATTGAGAGATCTTTACAGTTCATTTGATATATGAAATTGAGATAAGTAAAATTCAATATAAGCAATTCTGACAATTTTTATGAGTTAGTTTTTCAAAGTATGCAAGATTTATACTATCAAAAGAACTTGAAATACACAAATCTTAGAAATATTAATGTATAAATAGGTGAAAAGAAATTGCAACTAGTGTATTTGAATAATTAAGAATGCAAACTTTTACTTTCTTAAAAGTTACATCAATTTATTATATTATATAAATTTATATATAATTTGTTATATCAATATATCATGTTATAATTATATATAACAAAGTAAAGGTTTGCATCTCTATAAATAATTATATAATATTATTAGTATTGGTAAAACAAATAAAGTGTTAACAGATAAAGAAATCAGGTAATGAAGATTTATTAATGATTAAAAGAAGAAATAATAGTAATGTGAACAGATAAAATATGATAGTACAGATGATTGACAAATCTGACAAATCTGACATATCTAACATTTTTGACATATTTGACATATATAATATATCTAATATAATCGACAAATGAATATATATTAGACAGATTTGATATATATGACATATTTGACATATTTGACATATACGATAAATTAAACATATTAGTCATATCTTTCTATATATTGTATTTTATATAAATAGATAGCTTTTTAGACCATGTAAAAAGTAGGATTTGACAAGTCAGTTTTTTAATAGTTTTAAGAGACAAACAGACCTATTGTATTATACTTTAGCTTAATATTTCATTTCTTTATCTTCTTTTCTTTTATCATAACTTTTATTCTCTTTATTTCTATTTTTTATCTTATCAATAAACATCTTATTTGAAAATATAATTACTCAATACCTCATGAATTGTTAATTGTGAAATATTTGTATAAACCTTTATCTGAATTTAGTCATAATAATAAACTTGTAAAAGCTTTAAGATTATGATTACTGTGCAATTAAAAAAAAATAATACTTTGACATTTTATCTAACAGTTATAGTTCGCAAGAATTACACATTAACAGTAATCAGATTTTAAGAAAACATAAAATTTTTCTTATAATCTGTTTGAAATATAATATTAATAAATTTATAAAGAAAGGTTAATCTAAATTCAGATTTGAGTATTGTATCAGAAAAATTGTTAACTTTAAGAAAAGTAATAAATATAGTAATCTAAAATAATTAAAGGTAAAAATATTATTATAAAAAATCAGCTTCTGTAATAAGATATTAATCAAAATGCTGAGATAAGTTTATTTAAATAATATAAATTATATTTAATAAATAATTTAATAAATTTGACAAAATTGTAAAAGAAAAATAAATGATAGATATAATATATACTTCCTTTAATTTGATTAATTAGAATATTTAAAAGAAGTTAAGTTAATAAGATTAATAAAAACATTAATTAAATTTAAGTGAGAAGTTTTGTTAAAAAAATAAGTCTAATAATTAAGAGAAGAAATAACAAGTATAAATCTAAACTACAGCTAAAAAGTCTGAATACAAAAATATATTTGTATTAAATATGATATAGCAATTAATTTCAACTTTATAATTTGTTGCAATGTAAGTTAAATTTAATTGTATATTATATAGATTGTGACATATAATATTCTTCTATTTGATGATTTGACAAATATTGATCCAAATAATATTGAAGGCTTATAATAATTACTGAATATATAATAATAAATAATAAATTTGTTATTTTGGAATATTAGTTCAAATAGTTTTATCATTAAATCTATATATTTCCATTTTTCTTCATTAAGTCATAAATTTTTAAGACATTTTTTATTTTTTAAAACTAATAATTCAAATACTTCTTTTATTTTAATAAATTATTTTAACATTAAAAATATGCTATTCTAATTTATATTCACATCTAATTGTAATTTAAGATATTCAACCTTTTTTATATTATAAATACCTTATAATAAATCATATAATACTTGAGATTGTCTTATTTTTTTACAAAAACTTCTAACTTTTCAATAATTTCTATTTGAAGTTACATATTATGTTTTACAGTAATATTCAAGTTATATGCTAAGCATCAATAATACTTAAATTTCTTATTTCCTAATAAAGTAAACTCATATTATAATTCATAATATGCTAAATATATTAATTTATCATTATCAGTTATAATACTAATAAGTTTTGATATAAATTTTTATTTCTTTAAATAAAGAAATAATTAAACTTTTTGTGAATATACTATAATGATGATTAGGATAATGAATTAAATTTAAAAGAAAATGTTGTGTTTTTCAATTTTTATCAATATAATATATTGTGATATTAATAAAACTAATTTGATATAAATATATATCACAAGTAATAAATACTGTTGATTTAATACTTTCTAAAATATTTATTTATTTTCTCTAATAGATTCAAATTGTTTGATAATTTTTATACAATATTTGATGACAAAAAACATGATAACATAAATTAAGAGAATTAATCATTACTCTAAAATATTTAAAATATTATTTATCAATAATTAAAAAAGTAATTAGTAACAAGTAATAAATTAAAAAATTTTCTATTTAATTCATTCACGTATTTAATGTTATTTTTAGTGTATAGTGTCATAATCATACTTATTTTTTTAATAATATATTACTTTTATACTTATTATTAAGTGAATTGCAAGTATTTTAGTTATATTTTCTAATTTCTATTTGTTTTTGCATAAATTACATACTATCATAACAATTTCTTCATAGTTATTCTCTTTTTCATAAAAACCTTTCACACTATAGAAGTATGCTGTCTATTTCTTTTGAAAGATTATTATTGTAATTTAATATATTAATTATACATGAAGTCAAAATAGATCATTTCAGATATCCGAAATGGTCGAAATGGTCGAAATCATTTCGATCATTGAAGGCTAAAGTCGCGAAATAGTCAAAATGACGTCATATCACATGATTTTTCATATTGAGAAAAAACAATAAACAAAAAATGTACGATCTCGGTCAATATCGCTCTGATTCGTATGAAATAACTACCATTCAATTTCTTCAATACCGCTCCGTTTCTCATGAAAAAACTACCATTCGAATCCTCAGACTCTTTCCTGAAATTTTCAGACCATTTTTTCAAAAAATATTAAAAACTTTTAAAAATAATTTTTTACTATACAAACTAAACACAAACAATATTTTATAACTTT